AGAACAATAACACCTCGCGTTTGCTCAAAAAAAATACGAACAAAATCACTTGATCAATGCCGAGGTTAATAGAAAGTCGGACGTGGCTGTTATTGAAGCGTTTGGCCTAGTAGATTGTATATCAGTATACCCTTCCAGGCTCTGAAGAAGGCGATACTGCCGAAACGTCAGCTAGCGTTGTATTGTATTGTGTTTTTATGGAAGTAAATGTATGCTGTTTAAAAACCTCGCGATTGCTGAACAAGAAAACGACACATTCATGTTCCAATGCCGAGGTTAAGAGAAAGTCGATCCTGGGAGCTAATGCATTCAATTTGACTGGTTTCTCTGAGTGGGTAGGCATATTTTGCCTCCAGTTTACTAAGAGCTATGTGAGCAAGGTACCAGATCTTATAAGTAGCCTTCTTTCTCAAGATAATAAAATTTTTCCTACAAGTGAAATACAAACGATCAAACTGTAACTTACTTCCTTGATACTTGATACTTGAATGACCCGTCCTTACAGGTTGTGCGGGCCCCAGTATAGTCTCCATTTCTCGGTGATTTGCTGGCTAAGCCATTGTGGTTCCCTGGAATCCCGAGGTCGGCTTGGCCGAAGTCGGCCTCAGGTCTTCACCACCACAGGCAGACGCAGTCCTTGTAGATCAGAGGGACATTTGCCACCATGCGACTTTGTTACTAGGGCGGTGATGGATACTGATATTAGTTTACTCTTAGGCTAGGCTTCCTGATGGAAACGCCAGACTCCTTCTCAGCTTGGGAGATCCTGCCAGGGGATGAATCACCAGCTGTACACCGCAGTCTGACACCCAAGACCACCTCCCTGTCACGATGAGGCGGTAAACCGCTGGGAGGTATTGGAAGATTACCAGTAGTTTTTATAAAAAAAAAAAGGAAAAAAAGACCAGCACCATTGTCAATTCGACAAAGCATTTTTATTTTTGTTTTCATTTTTTTGTCTTTTTTTATCGGGAATGGTTGTCATTACACTAACCATTGTTCTTCGCTGAGGTGTCGATAGATGCCGTCGAACGTCACTTGCTCAATGGCATGCTTGATGTTCACCACCGCTTCAGCCAAAACTGGAAATGGCTCGCTGAGTGGCAAATCCACGATTCGTCCTGAAATTCCTACCAAAACCGAGTTAGCGATAAAAATATTTGCTTTTCTATACACAAATCAAGTTTTTTTTTATTATTAATAACGTTATCAAGGGCGACTGTGACTTCCGTGTAGAGAGAAAACAGAAAGCAAAGAACGAATGAAATCCTGTTCACTACTACTTTTAATATAAATAAACACAAATATTTAAGTACATCATCATTCTATTTTTTGACCAAAGCATTGCTTGTCTTGACAGCTCAAACCATGAGTGATTGGCCTAAAGCCGTCTGCGACCTACCTGCTGCTTTATTCAACGCCTGCAGTGCCTCCTGCCTGGTTACGAAGGCGAATATCATTTGATAGACGCTCTTCTTCAGCTCATCAATGGCTGAATTCGACTCAAGAAAGTGCGTAAAACAAGCCATGATTCGCTGACTGAACGGTTCCATCTGAAATCGTTCTTTTGTTATGGTAAGAACTTGGTAAGCAAAATGCATTTTTTATTGATAAGCTAACACAAGGTTGATAAAATTCCAATTCTTTATCAACCTCTTGTTAGCTTGTCAATGAAGAAATTTTTATTTCATTTTATTTTATATAACTTGTCTTCACGTCTACTGTGCGGATCGCAGCACTTCTCACATTCGATTCGTTGTCCCGTATCCACTGTCCACGAAGATCTTCCAACTTCTACGTGTGGCTTGGGTTGCTGTTTGAAGATTTCCATTTCATCTTGATTGTCGAAGAATGCTGGTCGAGCAATTCTCTCTGGAGTCCCGCTATACTGGAGCGTTACCAATTGGATTGCAGAGAATGACTTCATTTCTTTTCCGGGATAAGTCCGGGTACCAATTCCCCGACTCCGGAGAGATGACAGGCTTGGTTGACCCAGATCGGAATCGAAATAGGACTATATAACATATATATCATATAACGCTATACAATACATATCATATAACACAATGAAAGAATACATGAGGATTAGTCATACCGAGGTTAAATGAAAGTCGGTCTTTAAATATTGGCTGGTTCGCTATGTGGTAAGCAAAGTCATAAATTAGCAACAAACTCTCATTTGCCTGAGACAATGAAATACCGCAGCAACCAGTTGCATCAGTCATTCTTCACGGAGCCCATTATTAATTAACTGATACCGGAAGAAATAGCTAGTAGGTTCTATGATTATAGCGTATTGTGAAAAAATTTCTGAAGACTTCAACAAGCACGGAGTTCAATTCGAATCTGTAGAACCGCTTAATCACTTCTTTATATTAAGGACATGAGATCTTAAAAATAATGAAAGTGTTTGGAAATGGATGAAGGGAATGAATCACCAGTCAGAATTTCAAGTTGTCTCGCAACTACTTTTTTTAGGACGAAGATCTACGCCCACAAATTTTTAGGCTTTAACTCAGATCTCACATTTCCTACTCCGATCATCATAAACATCGAAATTTAACAGCCCGATTTGTAACTCAGTGGTTTTTGTGACAAATATGAAATTTCTGAAAGTGTCGTATGAAGCGAACCTGTTTATCGACGACAGTACCTTCGTCGTCGTCGAGCAATTGTTTAACCCCGGAACAAACTATTCGTGTCACCTTCTCCTGTGGAAGATCATACTCTGACATCACCTGAAAATAGGCGTATCTTCGCGAGAATAGAAATAATCGTAGTCGACAAAGAATAGGTACCTGATCGATCGTCATCGCAACAGATTCCGACGTGTTATCAGCTTGGACTAATGGGCGGAACGAGAGCAGGACCACTTGCACCTGAAAACTCATGATCTTTTCAGCGAACAAAATGTTGTTAATAATGTTCTTGGATTAGAAATTGCAGAACAATAATATGAAATCCTCTGACTCGTAGCAGAGGCGCCTTATTCCTTTGTTAAAGAATTTCCAGTTATAAGCGAATTCTTCTTGTTCTACAATTGGGAAAATGCTCTACCGTACTCTCCAGTCTTAGGTGAATTTTCCAAAATATAAAGAAGAATGAAAAAATAAGATAAGTATGAAGTAACGCATAACAACGAAACTACACGAGAAAGGCTTATTAAAATAGGCAGTGAGATGTCTGTATCGGTAGTAAAAAATAGAATTATTGCGAAGTTAACTCCAAAGCTCTCGGTGTTGATCAATCCCCGAGGGATACGCCATGCATTCAACTTCACTAAGGATCGTTGGAGGTGATTAATCCATATCCGGCCTTAACATTAACTCGCGTTGGCTTACCGATGTATCGAGCCAGTGCTGTTATCGTACCAGACAAGTTTTCTAACAATCTGTCGATCTTGGGGGATGGAAATCTGGGGTGGGGGAGCCTGGGACGCGAAGATCGATCCTATGTGTATTGCAGGGTGCCACCGACTACTGCGCCATAGGCGCCCTGACGATTGGTACGATATTATAATTGTATTAGTGTTTGAACATTTCCAAAACTCTGGACTCCTTTTAAATTATTATTTACTGCCTACTCTATTTAATGCAAGGTATATTGTAAAATATAACTTCAATGATGCTGAGAAATTTGCAAAACTCCGGACCGCAGGTGTCTACGATGGGGAACGAACGCATTATTGTCCTTTCCGGGGAGTAACGCGTTCACCACCACACCATGCGGGTCCTTCGTTCTGCAATCACCCGTCAGCGGGACTCTGGACCCTGATTTCTGATTAAATTCAAGTTTTTCAGCCGGGTATTTAATCAAGTCTGTACGTAATTGTTTTACGAAACTTGTTTTCCTTATTGGTTAACCAGCGATATTTTTGGATCGTATGTCTTATGGCATGTCATCTTAAGAAATACTCGGCGCCGGGAGCGATCTCATGTGTATTGCAGAGTGCATCCGGCCACTGCGCTACATTGGGAGGTTATAATGTATTAAACTTTGTTGAACGATAGGAAATAGTGAGCCAAAGTTAAGAAGAAAAGTTAAAGAAGAAATCGATGATGTTAACTCTGATGTTCGCTAGGTATGAAATATTAATTATAGGTTTTGAACAGTTTTACTTCAGCAGGATACGCGTGATTTACCTCGTATTTCTGATTGATGAACGCCGGAAAAGCAGCTGATACACATAATCTGAATACTGGATCTGTGCCAGTGCTGGGGGTAACACGAACACAATCCACCAGCACTGAAACGCAAACCGCAGAAGCTAGCAGGCTACGGATAGACTGCAGGAGACGTACGTGCAATGTAGCAATCAACTGAAAACGCGTAATGAATTGTGGTAATCCACCAGCAATGAAGTGTCTTCTTATGCTCTCCCCTATCACTTTCTGAGCCCCCGATTAGATTTATGATACTCCATAAAAACCATTACCTGTTCAAAATACTGCGGATCATCATTGAGAGTGAATTTCGGTTGTGCGGCCTCGAGAAGCTCCTTCCAAAGTGGATTGGCTAAGACTTCGGAACCAAGGTACGAGGTTGTTAAGGCCATTGCTAGTCGCTGCTCAAGTTCTCGTTGACGTCGTTCGTCCCGTCGCCACTTTTTCGATTGCATTATTTGACCCGAAGCGTTGATGGTGAGTCCTAAATGTAGTAATTCTCAGAGGTCGTACCAACAAACATGTTGGAAAATGGTGGCGGTAGAATAAAGCGTTGCTGATAGTGGTTCCGTTCCCAAGGTGATAACATGTAACCACCGTTTAACCGACAAGGACCCTCCTCTTAACTAAATTCGTTAACCATTCATTCAAAATAACCTCAAATATGAGCGAAGTGTCGAAAAATCCGACCTCCTGAAGCAGCGATTAGTTAGGTGGTTGTGCTGTTCTTTACGGTGAGACAAGCTCGACATTTTCAGCATTAGCCAGTGTTATTTCAAATTGATATCTTTCGAAAATAGATGACTTACCTGCATGTTGCAGCATTTGATTTGCCGCCAGAGTAGCACTGTTAGCAGACGACGTAGGAATCTGCAGATTCATTATCATTTGGAAAGGACTCACACTCTGCACAAGATTGTGCAGCAGCCCCGGTATACCAGCCGCTGAACCATTGCGCAATGCCGTCATAAGGCTACTGCAAAATAGGAAAAAATGGATCTTACTTAATACCGCTATCATACAACTACAATATTGAAATATCTGCAAAATTTGGATCGTAGACCAGATCGAACCGCGGTAACCCTTTCTGGCGGCTCATGTGTTACGCACGGCACCACTGAGGCCTTCGTTCTTCCTTTCCCTCAGCTAGTTTTTTTTACCCTAGTGGTGCTACCAGCAATCACCCATCATTGTTATTATAATCAACCAGTCCCATATATTTCAATTAGCTACAATTTCTGCCAATATTTCCTTTAAAACGATGACAATAACATGAGAAGCTAGGTTTTAAAACATGGCCTGCAGTCTAAACGGTAGATCCCAAAATTTGTGCTTTGTAAGAAATCTACCTCGTGGCGCAAAGGAATAAGTACCATACGAAATTTAAATCCACTGTAGAACATTCGAATGTAAGAATTTCAGAACTTAAAAAGGACATCAAATCTCGAATTTCGAACTATTCAGCTTACCCAACGTCAGTTTTGACCTCTTTCTTTGGTTTCTGCAATTTCTGAACCGGTGTATTGTTACTGGTTGAGGAGAAATTCGACCCGCAAGCAGATGACGATGGCGATGATGGCAGTTGACCACCGTAGCGCTCGCGAGTGTAGTCGACCTTAATGATACTCATTAGTAAGGATATTTTGAAGCGTCGGTAAGTTCTTTCGTATTGGTCAACTCATCGAAATTAAGGCTCTGAACCTTCCCGTGGTGCCCACTTTTCGAAAGCTGCTTGGAAAAATCCGAGCATAGTCGGGAAACACTCATTAACCCTCTAACTCCGCAGAGAATTCTTGTGTCATCTCCTTAATACGATGTCTACTTCGTTAATTTTTTATTTGTTGCCTATTACAATTTTCCACAGCAGAGTATTCAAAACTAAAGGATGAACTTCTCGGCGTTGATCAATCCCTGAGGGATGCTCCATGCAATCGACTTCAGTAAGCACCGTTGAAGGTGATTGAATGCATATCTGGCCTTCACAATGACGCGCGGTGGTCTACCGAGATATGGATTCAGTACTGCTATCCTCCCACACAAGCCTGGGGATACCAATTTGTTGAGACCGGAGGGATGGAAGGCTTGGTGGACCATGGGCGTGGAGATCGATTCCACGTGTGTGTCACAGCGGCGCCTCCAACCACTGCGCCCTAATCATAATGGTGCTGAGATATTTGAAAAACTCCGGACCGCAGGTGTCTGCGGTAGGGAACGAACGTGCTATTACCCTTTCCGGAGAGTAACGTGTTCACCACCACACCATGCGTGTTCTTCATTTCGCCTGTCTCTCAGCTATCCTTCTTTTTTTTCTATTTTTCTTTTTCAAATCTCTCAACATAACTGTAGTTGTATTTCGCGTAACACCCTTCCGTGAAAAAGTGTAATAGGCAACAAATAACAAGCTGACACTGGACAGATGGTTAAATGCGTATAAAAACTGATAGTATTTGTTAGCCCTTAAATTCAGGTGAACTGGAGGGATGGAGTTTCTGTTCCTGTGATGACCGTTTCTACTCTTCTAATGCACATGAACAGATTCATATATGTATGTGACTGCTTGTGTTCATAAAAACTGCATCCATTAGTGGATTCGTCTATACGGTTTCAGCCAAAGGACTGACAAGAACATGGGAGTTAGTTCGAAATCAGCACCTTCAACAAATATGACCTAACTCTATTTTGAAAATGTGGGAGCTTCGTGTTAGTAGATACTATCCCCATGCAATATAAAGTCTAGCCTGCTAAGCAAATTTTCTTGTCAGACGGCTATTTTCAACACCCTGTCTCGGGTTTGCTGCGAACTCCATGACGCTTAATAGATTAGCACCGAAATTTCTGGTAAGTTGACCCATTAGGAATATGGTTTTTGTATGTTTCTAAGTGCAGAATAGAGCTTTCCCGACGAATGCGCGACACAACATGTCCTACAAGTTATCAAATAATAATAAAAAAGTATAAGAAAAATTTCTGTACACCAAAATAAACCACCGGCAAGAAGTGAGACCTACAAGTGTCATGGGCCGCTCCCGCAAAACCATTGTGACACCTATAGGTGTCACTCGTCGCAAGAGTGTTAAATTAAACTAGAGTGTAAACAAGTTCCACATTTTCGAATTCCAATTAAGACTGGCATTAGTCAAAGACTATCATGCTTTTAATCGGATCATATGAAGTGGTCAATAACGTTAATCACACAAGAGCTAGCGTTTCAGGAGACTTTTCCTTCTTCGGTTCGTTTCTGCTGCTTACCTTTACCAGTTTATCAAGAACGCATTTCAAATACGATTTGAACCTTTGAGCTACATACACATAACCAGAAACTTACCTTAAGTTTCTGAAACTCTGCATATTCGGCCGAGTGTTTCTTAAGATGACAAGCCAACGTGCTAGTGTGCGGGCCCTTCAGGCTGTATGTACAGTCACCGATGATACATCTGCATAGATATGATTAAGATACAAGATCCAAAAGTGTGGCTAGTTAGCCAACAAAGAAAGGTTTCATAAAACAACTAGGGATGGACTTGACTAAATACTGGACAGAAGAACTCGAATTTAGTCAGAAATTGATCGTCCGGAGTCTTGGGAATCTCCAAACAAAAATACAATTATAACATCATATCAGTCATCCAAGGACCTCTTCATCTACTACAGCTGATGGCTACTTAATTTCTTTAAACGGAAATTTAGTTAAAAAAAAAACGTCTTGCGATGTAACTAATAGTCGAAGTCATTTGATGTGAATGAATTCTGATGTTGAGATATTTGCAAAACTCCAGACCCGCAGATGTCTGCGGTGGGAAACGAACGAGCTATTGTCCTTTCCGGGAGCTAACATGTTCACCACCATCCTAACCGATTCGTTCGTTTCGTCTGTCTCTCAGCTAGTTTTCTATCTACCAATACGACCAGCAATCACCCGTCAACGGGATTGATCTAGGGAGAGCAAACATAAAAGGTTAACATTGTGAATGTATACTATTCAAAACTTTATCCCTGTTTCAATTTGCTAGTTAGCTTTTCGCGGAAAATTTCAAAGTCTCAGAATTATTAAGAGGAATTATAACAGATGACTTCATGTAAAAGAAAGGAAGCCGAAAATTAGTTGAAACTGGACGAAATTGGGAATAGGAATGACGACAACCTCACAGCAGCCTAACTCTGTCTTCTGATATTCGGAAGACTGAAATTTATCGAGAAGACGTCAACGCTGACCTGCTCAGATTCTCGGCTTTGTTGTACACAAAGTACTTCCAGACTGGTGTCTGTTTATTTGTGCCCCCGGATCGAATAGCTGCCGCCGGATTTCTATGCCAACTCCAGTCATCCTGCAAAGAAATGTTAGCAGATTACTTAAGAAATATAGTTATTTACTTTGATACTTGGATGGCTCGTCCTCACTGGTTGTGCGAGTACCAGCATAAACTCTATTTCTTCAGACTCTTGCTGGTTTAGCCACTGTGGTTCTCCGGAGTCCCGAGGTCAGCCAGACCCACGTCTGCCCTAGGTCATCACCACCACAGACAGCCCCGCCATTGTGGATCAGAAAGAGATTTGTCACCATCTGACCAGTTTTGTACCAGCACAGTGGTGGATCTTGGTATTGGTTTAATGCTAAGATTTATACTTAAGAAATGTGGTTTTCACCAAAATTTTTACTACAAAAGAATGTTCTGTGAAGGTGTGAAGACAATAGTCACATGTAGCCCACTGTGTTGTAGCATTTGACAACCAGTTGGTTAAATCGGCTGATTATAGAGATCCTTTCAAACAAAGGGTTTTTTAAGGGTTTCAAAAACAAGCCGGCGATAAATTCTATAAATATGCGATGTGATAGATTTACGATGGATGTAACAGTAGGAAGAAATGGACGGATAGCGAACTACATGCAGCAGAATACTTTGTAAGGAAAGCAGAATGTAACCGATAACATCCCCTGGAATTCTTTGGAAATAGCCCAAGGAGTAACCATTTCGAGGTCTCAGGGTTTATTGCATTCTTTTCCCCACTCATATCCCCGAAAAATTGAAGAGGAAACCTCTGAGAAGAGCTGCGCTGCTGGCGATTGGGCGACCGCAACCGATCCGGGAATCGGGGCTGCAACAGGCGATGCTGGAACGGACGGTAGACGTGGTGGACGTGAGACATCGTCTAGCTAAAACGGAATTTTCAGATACTCAGAGAATAGTGTAGTCCTATTTGTTCAAAAATCGGTTTACGGACTTGTCTAAAAGATATTAAGCAGCTTATGGGGCAAACGACAGGATTCTGAGGAAGATGCATAGTGGTAAGCTAACATTTTGCACTTTAGAATTTGAACTAAGCCTTGAACTGCTTAAATCATTCTTCTCGAAAGTTCCCTAAGTTTACAAACAGTTACTACAACTTTCTTCAAGAATTCGTTGCAGTTGACTTTTGTACGGTTCCGTTTTTAAGCCAAGCCGTATAGGAGCGATATGACTTCAAATGTGAACAGAGGTTGACTAGATAGTACAGCAGGCAGACGAGAGAGACAGTGATGATTCTAAAGCCAGTAAAAGATGAAGTAGACGTTTATCGCCCTTCGATGACGTTTCTAAAGAAAAGTGGAAAAGATTTTTCGGCGAAATTCTACAGAAATTCCTTCGGAGAGGAATTTTTTGCATTCCACAGCCTTGGAAGAAAAAAAACCTGTTGAAGAACAAAATGAGAAAGGTCGACGATTGAGGACTCAGTGATGACTATTTGGTAGCTGAATGCTTAGAAAAAAGCTTGTCAAGCCTCACAATGCTCAAATTGTAATCAAAAGTGGATTCTACAGACTAGTTGAAAGTGTTCCCCATCAGTGATGACAGTCGATGAGAAAACGAAGAACTTGAGAATTTGTGGTATTCCTTGAGTTTAAAAACAAAGAGCTTTCATGAACTTAACGGCTACAAGGCAAAGATTTTGGTGGTCCACAGAGTAAAGAAGTAGGACACTTTTCTTTGCTAAAACCTGGAAAAATTATTACCTATGCCACTGATCATTTGTAAGAACTATATGGTGAGGCCCAATAATGCCCGTTAACACGTTTCACAAACCTTCGTTCAAACGTTGAATGAGTTAAATTCCGGGACTTGGCCTCATCTATTAACTTTTCGGACCCAGGTATCATGGACACCCACTTGACTAAATATCTACATCGCTTTCTAAATGAGAAAATGATCTGAGACCAATGGAAACGCCGTCGAAGATGTTGTTATGAGAAGCCCGAACTATAACGATAGAACTTATATAATGTTGAGATATTGGCAAAACTCTAGACTGCAGGTGTTTGCGGTGGGGAACGAACGTGCTATTGTCCTTTCCGAGGAGTAACGCGTTCGTTCCCCACCGCACTAACCTGCGGTCCGGAGTTCAGTTCAGCATTATATAAGTTATATTTCGCAAAATACCCTGCCATTAAAAAAGAATAGGCAGTAAATAAAAAGGTTAAGATTGTGATTATAGAGATAGAATTGACAGACGTCTCTCACGTTAATAAACTTGTGTCTCTTTCAACGGCACTTCTTTATAATAAAAGTATTGACTTTCCATTGGCTCATAACTCTTCAAATTTGATTGCGAAGATTTCCATTGATTTCCGAGTGAGTTGCTTAGTAAACGAAAAAAAAATACAGTAAACGAAGTATTCGTGCAGTTTCAGAGCAGTAACTGTATTTTACGACATATCCAATACACGGCTGTGTTAAAATATTACTCACAGCTCATAAGCTACATTTAAGTGCTTAATTACTTTGTTTGTACAACCACAATGATGCTAAGATATTTGCAAAACTTCGGACCGCAGATGTCTGCAGTGGGGAACGAACGCACTATTGCTCTTTTCAGGTGCTAACGCATTCACCACCATCCCATGCGGGTTCTTCGTTATATACCTGGTTTATAATTTTGACTAAACTCAGGTTCTATTTAGTGCTCCATAAAATCTCTAGATTTGAAATATCCATACTGAATATTCGTTCTTGAAGAACACATCCCAGAACTTAATACTGTTCTAGAGTCTTTAGCCCATCTACATATGGGGGATCTGTTTCATTTTGAAGACCAGGTTCCCAAATTCTATTACATCTACCCCGTTGTGGAAGTTTTTCCTACAATTCAGAAGGTCATCGAGTAGAGATAGTTGGTTAGTGATGTTTTTCATTCGCATTCTGCTCGTCCGTCCGACTATCTCATGTACGAGTTATGACGATGTCAATGTTCGCTCGCAATCTGACTTCTGGAAAAAGCCAGCAATCATATGACAACGATGAACTCCGTAATTGCAGTGGATACCGAAAAAAGTGGAATCTCCGAGAAAATCACACTCTTGGAAGGTTATTATCTCACTTCTTCAGGCCATATTTCAAAGTCACAAATAAACTGTTTATTATAACCACTATGAGGCTGAGATATTTGCAAAAATTGGGCCCCGGGCGACATCAAACCCGCGATTACCCTTTGCGGTAGTCATGTGTTATCCACTGCACCACTGAGGCCTTTGCCTTATTCTTCTCTCTACTAGTTTTTTAACCAACGGTGCCATTAGCAATTACACGTCAACGGGATTGATCTTGACAGCACAAATCGGAATTAAACCTAGTTAGGTTGAGGCTGTAGTCGAAATCACAATGTTACTTTTTATTTACAGCCTATTATTATTTTTTCACGGTAAGGTATGGTGTGAAATACTTATTTGGATACTTGGATGGTCGGTCGTCACTGGTTTTGCGGGTCTCAGCATAGTTTCCACTTTTTCGGAGTTTTGCTGGTTTAGCTGTGGTTCTTTTGAAGTTTCGAGGTCAGCCAGGCCAAAGTTTGCCTCAGGTCGTCACCTCCACAACTAGTCACCGTCTTTGTAGACTAGAGGGAGATTTGCCACCATGCGGGTAGTTTGATGCCAGAATGGTGGTGGAACCTGATACTGGTTTACTCTTAGCTGGGCTTCCTGATGGAAACCCCCACTCCTCCTCAGCTTGGTAGACTTTACTGAGGGGATGAATCCGCCCCTGTATATCTCAACCCGACATTCAGGAACAACGATGACGCGATAAACCGTTGAGAGGATGTGAAATACAAGCACTACAAACTGTTTGTTGTTACAAGAATCCCCATGGACGGCTTAGCTTAACATGTGGATTTCCATGACTTCTTTTACATACGAGTATGAAATCTGATTCTTTCGCTGGAGATTGTTTTCAGACCATTTAAAATAGCTTTTTCCAAATAAGCTGCTAGACTTATACAAGTGTAGAACCGGTTTTTTAATCAATTACACTACAGAATAAAGTGGATGTAACCAAAACAAAAGCCTTTTCATTAAAAATCCATGACTAAGTTCTGCCTCCTAAAGACCTAGCTATGTCATGCCGTGATCTGTGAACACGATTCCGATGTCCAATGGCCCTCAATTGTACTAAAGAGCTCTAAAAGACAGAATATTTACGGTTCTAGGTTTCCTGTCGCGATTTTCGCTCTAGGCTTAAATTAATGCACACTATGTGTTAAAAACACTTTGAACTGTTGGGACCACATATATTTCATCCTTGAACTAAGTGCTTTTTTATCGTCAGATTACACCAATCATCACACATATGTAGTAAAAGTTGTTACCATCGTCCGTTACAACGGTGTTCTCCACTTCGAACTGTGATCCCATCGGAATATGTTCAAGAACCAACAAAGGAAGCACTAGATGACATGCGAGATCGTTCAGCAGGATCACGAATGCATAGCTGTTTAGTAAGGTTTCGATATCAACTTTGGTATTACACAGAGCTATCTTCGTACTGGGTTTTCGTCATTCGGTCCAAAATGTTTATCAATACCGAGAACATCATCGTTCATCGAGAATTCGTAAAAGACTCTCGGCATTGATCAATTCCTGAGGGATGCGTCATAGATTCGACTTCATTAAGCATCGTTTGGAGGTGACTGAATGCATATCTGGCCTTTACAATGACTCGCGGTGGCCTTCCGATGTATCGAAGCAGTGTTGCTATCCTCTCAGACAAGTCTGGTACCAATTTGCTGACTCCGGAGGGATGGAAAGCTTGGTGGGCCATGGACGCGAAGATCGATTCCACGTGTGCGTTGCAGAGCGCCTCCGACCACTGCGCCACATGCGCCCTTATCGAGAATTGGTAGACTTATTTCACGATCGATATGACTGGCATACAGTGCTGACGGGCTGAACGAGGTCCTATCAAGAAAGTGGGATAGTGGATGAGCAGTAATGGAGGTGAAGGTCCCGACCACATGTCAGTGTTCTTTCAACACGAGATTTATTCATTTAACTTCTAACGGGAACGTACAAACTGTGGGTGATATTACCTTAAAAACACCGCGAATAGGATGTTTGTGGTTTATCTTCGTCTTTATCAGAGCCGACGATTCGATTCAATGTTTATAGTCATTCGTACTCTTGATGTGGTGTCTTCGTCGTCGTATCGAGTCGAATCTTCTTCAGTAGGGCCCCAGTCGAATGAGGCAACCTCGCCTGGCGCCACTCTTCTATACAGAACGGTTATTGTTAGTAGTGATTGGCTGGTGATAACAGTTTTATTTTCTCCGCACAGTCCATCCTGCAGCACGCTGTATCATTATGGGCCAGCACATTCCGTAACAGTATCTGAGCCATCGACTCGAAACACCGGCTCTGAGGAAGACGAAAACGTCGAAACGTTAGCCGAATGAAGTTTCATTAACCTCATGTTAGCTTACCAATGAAAGAATACGTATTGATTAGTCACTCTTATGAACTGATCCGCATGTGTTCAGAGCTTCGGAATGATTTTGATGAAACATGGGAATATGTGGCACAGTTTTCGAAGAGTGCCACTCATGTACTCTCTGTTTTGCTCTCTGTTGTATAGAAATACTGAATTTCTCTTTATAGGGTGGAGGCTGAAAAAAAACAGAATAATCTATGCTATAGTATGGGGACGAAGACCTTTCCTTGCTTAGGGAATCGCTTATTTTCTGCTATAGGGAAATTTTTATGGACACTAACCTTGAACACATTACCGAGCAGACTTTTGCTGATCATCTCCAGTATGTTGCTCGTCATGCTCGGTTCCGGTTCATCGTCTTTCTCCATCGATTCAGACGAGATCTACATATTACATCTTATGGAAGACAAAAATAATTACTACACAGATATTAGATTACCAAAATAATCTATTTTAGCACTAACAAAAAAGTATCTTACCTCCGATCCATTAGTGGAACGTGCTGAGCTTGGTCCTGCTGGTGACTGTCCCTCAGCCGCTGCTGGACCTTCAAGCGACTCTGTCGAGCACAATGACGGCTCGACCACCACCTGAACAATGGGCTGTAAATTATATTGCACTGGACCAAATAAGTGTGCATAAATTGAAGATGGTAATAGTAATAACGATGGTAATGTTAATAATGATATTTTTTTATACGACCTGTCTTCACTCCTATAGTGCGGATCTTAGTACTTTTGCATTCGATTCTTTTCCTTGCATCCAAATATCGTCGTCTTCTTTATAAATGTCGTTGAGCGCTGGACCGTTCGATTCTTTCTGAAGTGCTGAGATAGCTCCGATAGAGCGTTCCCACTTGTACTGCAGGGAGTGTGCTGTTCCCAGAGAAGTCTGGCATCAACGCCCCAAGTTCGGAGGGAAGAGAGGCTTGGTAAGCCCGGGGCAGTACCAAACCAACGCCATAGTCAGGATGAAGACATCGCTATCACTGCATTTACTTTCCAGATAACCCAGAGAGCCTCAGTCTCTTACCCATAGTTTCCTTGTATTTTACTACTAGTTGGCCGATATGTTTACTTGTCAGTTACCATAACATATATTCTCTACCTTCAACGAAAACTTTTTGCATTCAAATGAGGAACCATTAGATGAAGCCGAAGTAGGTGCTCCTGTTGTCTATAGACTTCAGATTCCACGACTTGTCAGACCATGTTGGTTACTTTACTTCAGGCATGAGAAATGGAAGAATGCTTTTCATAAATCCATGAATTCAGTTCATCATTCATCTGTTCCTCACATGAAAAGTAGAAATTCATTTCGAGGGCGGTAGAAGTAACTTTTAAGCGTTATCAGTACCGCTCGATCCCCGTATAATGCAATAATGTAAGAAGATACACATTCTCTGTGTCTAGTCATAAGGGCCGTTTTCCCACCACAAACTGCTGTACCTGACGGTTTTCGTCGCCGGTCCGTTTTCCCATGTATCATCAAATGCAAAAGAGCCCGTTCATACACCTACATAATGCTGTGCTTATTCGTACTTTGTATTCAGATACTAAAGGAATCTCGTTCGCTTCTTTGTACTACTGTACTGAATAAAAGGGTGCTCCATCTAAAACAGAATTCATGAACATCGCCTTTAAGAGTTATATCAGACGAGTATAGAAAATCGCATGTTACCTAAATTGGTTCCATCGATGGCGTTCTAATGAAGAACAGTTACAACAGTCATAAATTACGAATCATAACAGAGTATTTACCATAAAGAACTTATAAACAAACTTAACAAGAATCTTGTCCATTAATTCCGCTTTTCTAATCATAAAATAGCACGTAACTTTACTATGTCCTCGTTAAAACGGATTGAGAGATGTTCAGTCGCAGAGTTTCAAGGGCCTCACTGAGCAGCATTTATCACACTTCCCAGCTATCTTTATTTGAGGATGATTTTTCTTTGAAAGTAAAGAAATAGGTAAGGCAAACGAGAAGTGGGTGGGTTGAGTGGGTCTTCTTGATCAGGTCGTTCGTTTGTTAAAATCGGTCAGTTCAACGTTCCACCGATCCTTGGATGCTGTTCGTTCATCAATTGAGTTAAATTCCATGTTTTTTTTCTCTAAGTGAAGCTTTTTAAATGCTTCATTTTTGTAGAAAATAAAGATGAATGTTACAGTAGTAGCGGATTAGCCTAGGAAAAAAGTACCTGTGTCGGCAAGTCAATGCGAAACTTTTTCGCCTCAGGCGGTCCTTCTGTAGCGGCAGCACTCATCAGGGAGTTCTTCAGCTAGTTGCTGTCGTATTGCATAGATCTTGACGATTTCACACTTCTAGAAGAAAGTCGCAATTATTCTAGCGACTAGTGAACAGCTTCAGGAAACGAATCATTCGAAGGATGTTCACGAAAACAAGCTTTACGAGTGTCGTTCAGTGGATATTTTAAGGCGAGTTATGTTTAAGGGTTCTCTTGAAAACAGGAAACGGAGAAAACAAGAGAGAAAACTCTCTCAAAAAGGAGTGATACATTAACTGAGTTGTAAATTGTTAAGTAACCAGGACGCGAAATAAGGAAGTTGCTAAGCGCACTTGAAGTGGAAAAACAAGGAGAAAAGGAAAGATTTTGTAAGCGCTGTTGAGAACTTCTAGAAAATTCCTAAAGATACCCCGATTGACAGATATCCTAAAGTTTTTCCAACAATCTTTTCATATAATCGTCAACCTGTTTTTCTGCCTTATATTCATTTCTGAGAACAATCGTTAAGAAATTCTTAAGAAGTTACCCCTTCGTAAACGATTTTCATAATGAATGCTGACTTAACGATGAAAACTTTCAAAACGCGCTTAGTGAATAGTTTTTCTTCAGTAACGTAGAAGAGTAATGTAAGTAATGCAGTAGTGTAGAAAATAAGATTAACTGAATGGGAAAAGGATACTGTGGTCACATTTGACTGCATTTTATCTTTTGCTGCTATGTGAAAATGTTTAAAGGATAAAGGACAAAGTTCTCGGCGTTGATCCCTTAGGGATGCACCACCCATTGGACTTCATTGATTATCGTCCGGAGGTGATTGAATGCATATCTGGCCTTTACAATGACTTACAGTGGCTTATCGATGTATCGAGTCAACGCAGACTTCGACTTCTATTCTCGAACGACTGTAGACCATATACTCGGATCATCGGCTGTGATAAAGACGAAGACCTCGAAACGTTAGCCGACTAAGTATGTGGTAAAAACCACGTGTTAGCTTGTCAAGGAAAAAGGTACCTTGATCATTTATACCGAGGTTAAATGAAAGTCGGTTTACAATAATATACGTGTACAACAGTTGAATATGCATTCTAGCATACTAAACCATGTGATTTCCTAGAGAACCTTGTGGATCCGGAAGATAAGCTCTAAACTTCTTATTTTTGCTTTACTGGGTTCACTTATATACTTCTACATACATGTAGCCTTTCTCATACATACCATATCAGTATGTGCACTCGGAATGTATTCTGCACGTTAATTCTTCTAAAAGCGTTCATACAAGGGACTCAGAAATACACAGAAAGCGGTTTTGAGTCGCTTCCTGCAATTAAATTCTACAGACCATAAGAAGCTTGTAATGTTTTCCTAAGATTCCTTGGTAGAGCCCTACAAAACACTTGCGGTCATCTATTCATTAACACTAGCAAAACGATCTCACACAAAAAGGGTGATGCTCATCTTGCCCATCGAATAACCAGAGCTTGATGGGTAACAGTGATACACAACACAAACCAATGGCCACTTTACTGCTGTCTGCCTAAGTCAATCGGTGAGTAACCCGATTGTAGGTGAAATTCTAGGATAAATTCACATAAAGATTATGCACAGTCCCTGATACTTGCATTCGTTCAGGAACCGTCTGAGTAACCTGCGAGCGTTGCAGCTTCCAAACACAACCATACATCTAGTATTCATACAAGTATTTTTTCCTCTGAAGTCGCGAGATTTCTGTGCTAGGACAATAATTTTCTATACGACTGAATCAACATGAGGTTGCTATAAAACTTTAAGATATTGTCCTAGGCCAGTTCCAGTCCTTCACCACGAGTAATCGCCGGCCCTTGTAGATTAAGATGAGATACCTCGTGATCAATTGCTAATCGGGACGACAGTTTACTTTTCCATAAATTTTCTAACGGAAATGTCGAACTCTAGGTCAACATCGATGACACTGGTGGAAGGTCAACATTCAGCTGCGTGTCGTAGTTCGAAACCTAAGAAGACCATATAGCTAAGATGAAGCGGTAAACCATAGCGTGAATATAACAATGTTGTAAGCGGTATGAGGAAATCTTAACTGTAAAGATAGTGAAATCTGCAGATGAATGAAGCTAACGAAATAATATTGATCTCGTAAAAACTAAACGAAGGAAAGCAAGAGATAAAGCCAGTTATGGCTTGCAGGAATTATTCGTCCATAACATGGACGTATAATACAACAATGAATCGGTTTTTAAAGCTTTCGATAAAGAAGACAAATGGATAAGAAAACTTTCATTCGCTCAAGACTAGAGAAAAATTGTCTACTGACGAAAGCAAGGATAATTCGGAGGAGTCACGCTGACGCTTGACCTTAGATGCCGCCGACCTTTTCAAATTTTTCCTTAATAGTTCGTTACTCGAGGAATTCAACGCCTAGTTGATTAGCAACATTCGGAAGATTTTCGCCTACTTGTTTCAATTAATTAAGCATACAGTGATTTAGTTTAGTCAACACTTCGTGTTTTTCATGTGACTTGTGAGTTTTTCTTGTGCCTTCACCACGTAATGCAGCTTTTCTGCATTGCTTTCTACCTAATGGAGAGATTCAGAAGGAGTTTACAAATTCTGTTGCATAGTGCAGCAGTCAGTAGACAGATGATATGAAATCGCCTTGAGGTGAAAATGTGGTTTACCGTTTTTGCTCAACAACCCCCACTTCACTAATTTGAAAGGATCACTAAGAGGTAGATAAGAACACCAAAGCGGTTTATATCGTCCATGGAAGGTATAACGGCATTGCAAGTGATACGCTATCCTACGCTCGTCTTAACAATTCGCAGAAAGAAAGAAAGCAATTAACTTCGTGAAGACCATCCTGATAGAGTTTTAGACATCAGAAAAGATTTTTTAGATAAAGAAAAGCTATCTGTTCAATTCACTGGGCAGACCTTGGCCTGGCCGAACTCGGGATTCCGGGAACCACAATGCCTTAACCAGCAAATCTGCGAAAAATGGGGACTGCTGGGGCCCGCAGAACCAGCGAGGAGGGGCCATTCGAGTATCACGTAAGCAAGTATTTGTTCAATTTATAACAAGTTTGCATAGAAGCATTTTGATTCACGCTTCACCTATCCATACTATCAATACAAAATGCTGGTGACACATGCTTTATGAGTTTATCATCACAAATCTGTGCGAAGATTTGCAGTTGTTTGTAAGAGTGACGCCAGAGAATCTGCCACCGTGGATTCGCAGTGATCTAGTTCTACAGTGAGTTGTCTTGAAGCGAAATAGCCGAAAACTCAGCTAAGTGCGCACTTTTTATTCAAGAAAAAAATCGGTTCATGTAGCACAGCAGTTCGGGCGACTGTCCTTGTGCATGCATTTCCGAGTTCATCCTATCTTATAGAAACGAAGAGAGTGTTGAGTAGCTGTAAAATATGAAAAAACAAAGTGGTGGAACTGATGCGAGAGCTCTTCGATGAGCGACGATGACTTCGTCGACTTAGTGCTAGGCATGAGTATCATCCATGGAGTGTGTTTACATAGTGTGTAAAATGGTAATCGGGCAATGCGACCGCACTGCGTGAACTGTTAGCTCAGACTCAGCTCCGAGGACGAAGCATAGGTGCACGTGCTTTTGTGTGTGTGCTGTCCAAACCTATACGTGGATGATACACCTATCCCGGAAGAGCTTTTTATCGTCTCATACGTAATTTTACTACCAGAGAGAATAAATATTTACGTTGCAGCTCATTTATCTATTCAAAGTATCGTTTACAACTAGAATAATTAGAAATCTAGGTAAACAGAAAAACACTGGTACAATGTGAAAGGAACTGAGAAAAACATCATTCATAATTACGAATGTCTAAATATAAGCAATCGCCACGTACTGTAGCCATTCTAATGATGAATACTTGCTTAAGTGATGTCAGCTCTCACCTGATAAACCTGTTAGTCATTCAGCAACCCGAGTGGCCACCAACGGCATTTTCGTTGGTCTCTGCCACACGTCAAAGTTGAAAATATAGCGGAGTCCGCTCGCTGCACGAATCAAATAGATGCTCATACACTAGCTTTGATTGTGTTTCATTTAACCGAGATTTAAAATCATCAACTTCTTGGTGAGATGGTGGTCGTAGATCGGTTACTCTTAGACTTCGTAGGTGAAGTGTTGAAATTCTCCCTACCTTGAGATTGCTCGATGAAGATCGTCCCGACAAGCATCGAGATCAATGTCGAAGAACACCGCTGGCCACGATGAGGGATAAGTAGTAGAATATTGTGTAAAATTGAGTAAATAACAGAGGATTCATAAGAATGGAGTGAAATCATTACAGCTGGCTGGGACAAAATGACAATGTAAAATTGTTAAGAAAATCTTTAAGGTGCTTACTGTTAATATTCAGTGATCATCCACGTATGGTAACAGAAAGCGAGTTAAGTGACTAGGTAAAATCAGAATTAGGAGGGTATGAATGAATCAAGAGGAAGAGCAGAAGGATATCGTAAGAGCAAATTGATCAGAAAGGAAGAGGAAGTCTACTGAAAGAAATTGAAACTGAGTGAATTTATTACAAGTTAACTACAGTTCTGTATTTGGACCCCAAAAGAAATCAGTAGATCTGATCGAAGATACCTACGCCGTCGGAACTGAGACGCTACAACTTCCATCTTTTTTGTTATCGTCATAGTTGTTTGCTTCAGGTATCTGACCTTAGACAAGCACAGCCATTCTCTAGAATGCAAAATGCTCATTGTCCTTATATGTACCTATCAGTGAATACCCAAATCGTAAACTACAACGTTTATAAATCAGTGATGGAAGTACTGTAGTCGAAATCAGCGAAAGTGAACAAAAAGTAATTGCAAAAAAGCTTGCAAAATGGACTGAAAATATCTGACTGGACGATTGCAGCGTACGAACCTTTCTCTACATATGGATAGATGGATATAATGAATGAGTGGACTGAAATTACTCTTTGCCTCATTGCCTTATTGTGAAAATGTGTCGTTCGTTTGATCAAACAAAA